TACCCTACCTCCTCTCTCTCTCTCTCTCTCTCTCTTTTCGTCTGCCAAATTAATATTGTGCTTACATTCCATATTGCAACATGGCAAGGAAGTTTGTAGCAGTATAAACTTCCTCCCTTCTCTACATTTTCTCATATATGAGTATGTATTTCTGCTTATGGGAATATTACAGCGGAAATTACGAATAAGTCAGATTCCTTTACCATTAGATACCTTTCTGTGGATTTCTCAATTAAGATTTTACACCGCATATTTCTTGTAATTTAATTATTAAATGATATGAATCATGAGTTACAGATGTACTTAAAATAAGTGATAAGAATTTTTGAGTAGATAAGGATTTTTATGTGATTGTAATTTTAAATTAATTACACTTAATTTGTTAGTTAAGTTTCTTTATAGTATTCAATTTTGCAAGTTTTCAAATTTTATCGTTTGTTTCAAATGAAGGAAAAAATTATTTTTTATTTTCTGTTATTATATGATTATTAATTTTATTAATAATATATTAATAATATTAATAATTTATCAATAACAATTAAATATCGATAAAATGTTATTATGATATAAAATTTTTATTTTTCTCTAATTTTGTAGAAAATTTTACATTTTATAACAATATATAATTTGGTAATATATATTTTAATAATATTTTATATGTACATGAAATAAAATATTGTTTCAAACATACAATAAGTATTTGCAAATCAATTTTATTTATAATTTCATTACATATTTTTGAAAAAGAGATTTTCGAAATAGATAATTATAAAGAAATATCTTCATTTCTTTAACTGTTACAAGATATTGCAAAGGAATGAAAAATAATAGGAATTCGAACGTACATGCATATTATTTATTAATTTGAATATTACTATTCTAAAATGAGTGTTTTATTCAAATTGCATTCAAATGTAAGAAAATAATATTTCAAATTAAAAAGGAAAAAACGTTTAACTTCAACATCATTATAATGCAATATGTATCGAGGTCATATTTATGTAGCATAACGCATAGAAAAGTAATCCATGGCTATAGAATGAAAAAATGAAAAATAGAACGTATCTATTTCAGTTAAACGGAGATAATAGTATTTCATTTACATTAAATCCAAGTGCAAATATTATAAATACTATCTATTTGGATATAATCCTTTCGCGTCGCACACTGGTTGCTTTCAACAACCAGGCGCATAAACAATTTTCAATTCACATATTCAATTTTCTTTAAGATAAATGCATCACATTTTATTTACATTCATTGGAAATACTTCTACAATATACGTGTTACATTCTACTTGAAAACTATCTATATATTATGCAATCATAAAATATTAATAGAGTCTTGTATTGTAACATATTGCTTTTGATTATTTTTTCTTAAACGAAAATATATTGCATCGAACGAAATATTATCTTCAACTTATTTCCACGTGCATTATTCGAAATGTATGTTTTCAAAAATAATCATTTTTATTCATTCCTCCATAGAAGATCTCGATCACGAGTAACGTACATTAAACAAAAATCTATACAACGTTTCCCACGAAACGTTGAAACGCATCGAAACAACAAAGCAGATTCACACGTTACATCGATTCATTTGACATTTACTCACCGGCTCGTCCATCGTAACCGCGGTCGTCGTCGTCGTCTTCGTGCTCTCCGCTCTCCTCGCCGGCCGTGCCTTGAGTCTGCACAACCCTCGGTATTTCTGCGAGAAGAAAGAAAATAAATGTGAAATCGTAGGACGAAGATATACGCTAAGTGCAGCTCGTATCTCTTCTAAAAGGGTACACGGTTTCCTCTTTCGTATTCGCAAATTTTGCCTAATTGGACTCGTGATCGAGCGATAACACGGGCGAGCAGTTCGTGTGCTCCCTCCAATTGATCGATCGATCGCTTCTAAAAACAGGACGGCCACGATCGAAAATTTTCTGCTCTTTTTTTTCTTTTCTTTTTGTTTCTCCTGACTGCTCCTTCGCTGTTTGAACCGTTAATGGAACGTTTGAAAAAGTTCTCTTCGTGTATTTCATTAGATACCGTGTGTACGTAACAATGAAGTTTCCCAATTGGTTAGATATTACCATTTTTCACTGATGACTTTGCAATAATTGGATTTTTAAAATTCATTGGAAAACTTTCGCGAAATTGGAAGAATACACATATGCTCCACGTAAAATTTCATGAATTATCTCTGATATTATTGAAGATATAAAATTTTTATTAATGATCTCTAGAAATATAATATAAAATATTTGGAGAATTTTCTGGAAGATGAAAAATATCGAAAAATGTTATATGTGTTATATTCAAATTTATTTAATATTTATTTAAGCTAAAAAACGATAATAAAAAGATAGAACAAGGTAGAAGAGCAACGTGTTTTTGTTTATTTATTTTTTTCGTATTTTAAGTTTTATAAATATATACCTTTCAATTTTACTATGCAAAGTAGTAAATGATTAGATAGCAATTACTCAAATAAGAAAAAATTAATGTTATTTATTCAGGTTCGTTCAAATTATAAATCTTTGAACCGAAATTTAAATCAAACAAATCGATATCTATATAGATATATTGATTGAAGATATATGAGGAGAATAATCGTGTAATAATTGAAAATAACTTATGATTTAAAAGTGTCATTTTTATTCTTGTTTATTTCAAAACACTTTTGCATTACATTTCTTATGAGAAACATTCTCTATATTTTACATTTCTTATTTATCTTTTTTTTCTCAACGAAATTTTGAAAAATCTTTATTTCTTGCTTATATTATATTTTATTATATTTTTAATTTACAACAGATTAATTATATATCAATTTTTTAAACAAATAATAAAACACACATTATAATTTTTTAATTTTGTAATATTTAAATACTGAAAAAGTTGAGACTTAAAACATGTATTGTTTTATTATTGATGACATGAATTATTAGTATTATTTACATGTTTTTCTAAAAAAATTTTCTACAGATATTTCATTCATCATAATACATTGATGATGAGTACATTCTAGTCACCCGATGTATCGATGAATACTTCACGTATATAACACAAGGATCCCTCATAATAAATCAGGGTAAACTTTATATAGAATGGCGTAGTGCGATATGCTGGAAATAATTAAGTCTGCTACTCGCGAAGTCAACTTATTGTTAGATCGTTAACGATGCGTTGCAAAAGTGGTTGATAATCGCTTACTATGTGATAACTGACGTATGATCATTCAAACGTCAACTAAATTTTCGATATAACTTCGATATTTATTTATTGCATATAAAGTGGTTTAAAAGAAAAAAAATTAATTATAATTCTGAATAATAATGTGAGAAACGATATTAACTACAATTAATATCTTTCCAACGTTACGTATAAATTATTATTAGTTTATTATGAATATTATGTAAAATTCGAAAACAAAAGTTGTAACTTAAACGTAACTTATTTTCTCGGATATTATAAATATTATAATTCTAAACTATCGTTTAGAGATCACATTTTGCTACTAATAATAATTAAATTAATTATAGAATCACTCGATATCGAGAGATTATATTAATAAAATAACGTATTATCTTTTCCACTGTGTATCGCGAACTATTATTATCGTTGAAAAATATACACATTCTTTTATTATGCATATAAAGAAATAAAATAGAGAGAGCTAAAAAAGCATAGAACGTTCACGCTACTCGTGATTTTTAAAGCTCCATTGTATATTCATTTTTACGTACTACCTTTTTTTTATCAACTTTTATGGGAAACTGAAAATAGAATATTGATGAATGCATTGTAAAAATCTTCTTTTAAAAATCTTTCTACTTTTGCGTTTTATACGTCTATTATATTTTTAGTTCTTATATTTCTTACATTTTTCATTCCATTTCATCCTACGTATGTATATTAGAATTTAGAATGTGCACTTGTTGCTTAAAATCATTTTATTACAAATTTAACAAACAAGTATATAAGGTGTTTGTAAATAATATATTTTAAAAGAAATGAAAAATAATTTTGCAATCTTCTATAATCAACATAATAGTAATATAAGAATTTTCATTTCACAATTGATTGAGGTCGTTGATGATTCTGATGTAGAATAACGAGTGGAAAAGGAATAAAAATTTCATTTTCGAATAATGAAATTTGAAAAATTTGAAATTTAAAATAAAATATTTGTTACCAAATACAAATATAATTAGCTAATTCTCGATATAAATGAGCTAAATATTGATAAAAAATTATTCTACGTATGAAAATAAGTAAAAAGTATAGAATATAAGTTTTTAGAAATCTTAAATTAAATTTTTTGCTTATTTTCATACATAGAAAAACTTCCTATCAATAATTCATTTCGTGTTCAATCAGGAATTGTCAATTTCATTTACACTTGAATGAAAGAAATTCTATTTTTCCATTTCGACTCATTATTACATATAGAATCACTCATCATTTTGTGAAACACTTTTGTATTTGTATTTTATTTTTTAAGAAATTTTTAATTCTTTAAACAATATACTTTTTCATATCATATAAAAAGGATAAACTCATTCAGGATTAATATAATAATCTTCAAATATAATTCCTGTGAGATAAAAACAATCTAAATGTTCTCACAAATATAATAATTCTTATTTTATAAATTTTACCACAAATGTGATTCGTTTCTTTTTCTTCAATGAATACTTCAATTTTTATTTACAAATTTCATATCTGCTATCACTCTCTTCTATCAAATAACGTTCACGTTACTCCAAAATTTCGTTAAATGATTTACTAAGCGATATAATTAAATAATACTAGAAATTTTCTTGCAGTACAATAAGAGAAATAAAAGTAAACGTATGGACATATTTCCTTTACAATGATAAAGGAGACGCATGAAAAAACTTAACTATTGCATATACTTACTGATGCAAGGTGCAATATGCGATCTACTCTGTTGGTAACCTCTGGCACATCTATTACAAGTAGTACCAGTTACACCGTCTTTACACGGGCATTGGCCGGTACTTTGGTTACAAGTTTTTCCGGAAGCGCCGATCGGATGACAGTCACACGCTGTAACACGCAACATGCAAAATAAGGGATGGTTAGTTATAGTTATATTATTAGTTGTATTATGTAATCATGTGAAAAGAGTAATTGGAATTTATTATTATTATTATTTTTAAATATGGTATATTAAATAATTTAAAACGGTGAAAATTTTATCATACAAAAGAGATATAGTTTACTCTTTTGTGCCCGAGTGTGCGGTAGGTATGAATAAGTTGGAAATGTGGATTCTACAAGTGCAATTCAATAGGAAATCACAATGATCTTTTGTGATAAATAAATAATAATTTTAAAAATAATAATATTCGTTTGTGCAATCCATTATTGTGAATATTATAATAAACGGTTAATAATGTCCAATTATTTTGATGTATCATCATTTTGTAAAGAGCTATTGATCAAAGATATAATTTTAAATCGGAATTATAAACAACACTTTTAGAACTAGATACATGTAAAATGATGTTATTTGAAATATTATTTCGTAATCATCGAATATATGTATGTTATAATAATATATGTGAAATATCATTTCACAATTGTTGAATTATTTAAAGAAATGCTACTTCATAAATATTCACAACTTTATAGGAAAAATCCAGAATCTGGTTTATTATATACAGGCATTCAAATGGAAAGAGTTAAATATCTTCGTTATTTTTCGTTTCGTAAAAAAATTTTATCAGGAAAAATTATTCAGGAAAAAGGAACAATAATATGGCGATAATATCTTATTTGCAATTGAAAGAGTTTCAAAAATTTTAAGATCATCTCCATTTTTCCGAGTGGAATTATATATTTTTTATACATTGATTGACTTACTTTTACATTGTCTATGAAAAAATATTATAATGAACGTCAAAAAATTATAAATTGAATCAACCAATACATAAAAAAGTACATAATTTTTATTTACAAAAGTGGAGATAATTTCTCAAAACTTTCTCAACCGTAGAAAAATATTACATAAAAATAAGAAAATATTTAGATTATTCCCATTTAAACGTCCCTTGTATACCGACATATTTCTTGTTTATACAAAACAATTCCATAATAACTTTAGATCGAAATTATTTCCTCAAATACAATTCAATAATTCATTATACAAAATTGTCATTGTTTTAAACGAATCTGAAACAAACTATATATATATCATTTTAGCTACTTTTTCAATTTCAAATACTCAATTTCAAATGCGCAATTTTCTCGAATCCGATTTAACCGACCACAATTCAATTCATCCCTTATTTCCATTTGCTATATCATTTCACTCCTCCATTCATTATATCTCTTTCAATAACTGAACGGCGAGCCGATTCACGCGAAACTTATAATTTCCCGACTTGTTAGCTCGTTTATTCATTGATCACCGTTCTCCTTCCTTTTTATCGCATTCACCGCTTCCGGGATTAAAGTAGGAGAAGAAAAGTGGGAGGAGGGTTAAAAGCAAAATCAGGAGGAGGAGAAATGTTTGCTCGAAAAGTCAGCTTGACACGTTCCTTTTGCCCACTTACTTATGCAAGCTGCAGTATTTTTCATGCGGGAGAGACACTGAAAAGCGGTTAATTACGATTGCACTTCGAGCCGGAGTGCATCCCCGCGAAAATCTATGAGGAGGCCCTTGAAACATCTGCCGGTCGTTGCTCGTCTGCGTTTCCATTTTCCTTCTTCTCCTCGGCCCACTTCTTTTTTTTTTCATTCTACTTCCACTTAGCCGCGGCATTACTATTTCACGGTGAAATCGGTCGTTGTTAGCTTTATAGACAGCCTACAATCCACCGATTTGTTCTTCGCCTGTGAATGGATAACGATCGCTTTTCTCTTTTTCCTTTTTTTTTTTCTTTTTTTTTTTTTCAATTTTAACGCGTCAGACCGATAGTTTTACAATTTTCTTTTTTCACCATTCCCATCGAATATTTGACTTTGCGTTAGTTAACATTATTTCTAAACGTTTGTTTTCATTCAATTGATTCAGAAATTATACTTGTATGAGCTTTCTGATTATTATTATTGTATATAGCATATTTATATAGTTTACAAATCGTGATTTGTCAATGTTATAATGTAAAATTCGAAAATTTAGATCCGTTTAAATTGTATGAATGGAAATGGAATATGGGAAAATATTGTTTGTGAGGATTAAATGAATATTTTTTCCGTCAATAATTTTTCTCAATTTAAACAGCATTAATAATATCTCTTTTCTTATTCAATATAAAAATATTGAAAAAATATTTCTATATCCATTTAAATTATTATAAAATTCATGCATACAATTAATGTTTATGCATTTATATACAATTTATAATACATAAAAATTTACAAAGTGCATACAACATGTAAAAAAAATACAAAATATTCAAAGGTAATCTGTGTCATGATAGTTAAAGAATAAGACAAATATGTATTTATTTCTTTAATTGTATTCATAAAAATTTTATTTTGTATATTTCCAATTTGATAATTTTAATCTACATTAAAAGTGAAGTTTAATATTGATTGTAGAAATTTTTCATCAATATTATGGCTCTAAAAACAAAAAAATTTCAACTTTATATATTTCGAAACACGATTTTAAAATTTTTATTTAAATAATTCTTTAATTGTATTTAATACGTAAAATGAAAAATAACAAGAACATGCTTTAAACAATTTATTGAATTTTATAATGAAAGATCTGTTGCTTTCATGATCAAATATTATTTTATGAGATTTTTATTTTTTAAACATCATATAATATCCTTATAACTAATTCGTAACTCATTAAAGATATATCTTTATATAATATTCTTTAATAATTTATGATTTCAATATTCTATTTTCAACATATTTTTGCTGTTTTATAATATCTCAAATATTTAAGAATATTTTGGGATTAATATAATTATTATATATTATATATCTATTATTATAAATATCTAACAAATTAATAAGTTTATTATATATATATATATATTTAATAATTTTTCAAAATTACAACATTTCGATAATAATTCTAATTCTAATAATTGTAAATCAATATAATAATTTAAAAATAACGTTAATTATTATTTATTAAATAATGTATCTTAATTGACGTTATATTTCTTATTTTACGATGATAACACAATCACTCTTCTCTCACGATCTAAACTCTCTTTTGAAACTTGATTTCCCCATGCAAGTTAGCCGCAATAAACAATCTTATCATTTCCACAATATTTTCCAATCAATTTTAATTAACCGTGTAGAAAAGAAAACGAATATAGAATAATTGGAAAAATAAAACTCGAAGGCGACAATGAACGACGATGGTCAATGGAGATAAGCACACAATCTCGAGAAGAGAAATACGAAGTGACCATTTGCACTTCCGCGAAACGGATTAATCTTGAAGAGACTGCCGAAGGGACGAACAACCGGTTCACGCTTCCCCAACATTCGTATCACAAGCACAGAAGGGAATTTTAACCGTGACCAAATGGAAAAGTATTCGAGAAATTACCAACGATATTTTTAAATTAATACAAAGAAATTAATAATAATAGGTGTTTTTGTGTATCTTTTTACTCTCATTTCTAAGAAAATGATCTTGCATTTGTCATCGCTGATATAGTCAAAAATATATAGAAAACCATAAAGTGATAATATGAAATTTGTATTTATCGATTGAAGGTAAATTAGAAACAGTCATCCATATTTTTTTTTTATTTTTATTTAAATCTAATTGTAGAATGATCGCTTTAAATAATCATGTTTATCATTCTTTTAATATAATAAATCGATATAAATGATAATTTATTTATAAATAATTACTAATATAATAAATTTTACAAAATTTACAAAATGTTTATTAGAAAATAAAAGATTTGGAAGCTCATCAGTATCAAGATAAATTTTGTTTAAAAATAAATTTATATAATTCAAGAATCTTTTTATTATTGAAATTTCCAATTGATAAATCATTATTAATGTAAATTCAATTGTAACTTAATGAACAAGTTTTAATTAATATTGACATTTGTGTTAATTTTTTGACCAATTTTTGTATTATCTAAAATATCCTAGTTTTTTCCAAACTTTAATAATGTGTTCTAAAGATTAAGATAAGAAAAAAAAAATATCATATAAATCAAAACTAACTAACATTACTAACTAACATTTATAGATTAGCATTTAGCATATAGTAATCGTCAGAAGATACAACAGTTTTACAGTTCTAATCGCAATAACTCTATTTCAGAATATCCATCATTCTTATTCCCTGAAATAAAACAAATAAAATGAATTTGACAAAATACTGAAAATTTTGTATAATAACGTATATTATTTATCTCTCATTTCGTTTTTGTTATAATCCTTCAACAATGCTTCCAATAATATATATAGCATTTTTTCTTATTTTCACTTGGAATAGAAACCCATACCATACCATAAAATAACCCATACTGTTAAAGTATGGAAAAAATTGAGACACCCTATATATATGACCATCTAAAAAAAAGCATGAAGTTGCGTTTCCCCTTCGACGTCATATACCAATTCCTGTATTTTTAACACAACAAATACAATTTACGAGTTATTCGAAGTGAACACGTTGCGCAACCCGCTTTGCATATTTTTCAAATTTTTGTTAACCAATATCCTTACAAAAGACATCGCAATTTTTCGAACGGCCGAGGTTAAAAAAGATTGAAGAAATACCGATCTATCCGATACGATAGCGTAATATTTAAAACACAATTTCCTCGTTATTTCGAGTTCGCGCTTCTTTCTCCACGACACGCGTTACGAAACTGTCACTCCCGTGAAACTTGCCAACTGGTGAAAGAGTCGATCCCCGGGAAATCGAGCGAGAAGCCGTGTTAAACGCTTTTTTATCCTACGATCCTCTCAATTATCACAGGGCTATTTAAACGCGCCGCGTTCCGTGGATCGGGTATAACAAGGCGTAAAGCAAGCAAAATGTAAAATAGCCGTGATTTACGAGTGGTGCATGTACTTTCTTTATCCTCATAGGTGTC